ATACGCATATTTTGCCGCAATGGAGAAAAATTTACATGATACAGTACGAACAAGTATAGGTAATATAATAGGCTACAAGCTGGACAATGCACCAACGTAAGAGAGAAAATCGGAGATATCCATGGTGTGATGAGACTCAAAATGGGGTTGTGCATATTAGATACCAACCGAGATACCATCAAAACACAAAACCTTCCCCATACTAATTTTAATCCATAATTTCCATAATTTGTTTATTAAAGTTAGGTATGGGGAAGGTTTTGTGTTTTGTTGGTATCTAATAACGTAAGGGAGGGTCAAGTTCCCTCCCTAAAAGTAACAGCAGCGTAACTGCAACGTTTCTGGAACGTTCCTAGGCGGGTTCCAAAAACGTTGTCGGGATGTTACTGTCTCCTAAGTCAATGGAAAAAATAGAAAAATGGGTCCTAAATGAACGTTACACCCCCCCCCCTCCCCCAATTAAACTTTTTATGCTTAAACGACGGTATTTCATAACTACTTCTATTGAGCTTAATTGTGCACAAGCCGTCAGCATACATTGACAATAGTACACAATTATTGAAGCACAGATTAAAAAAAATTGGTTCTGGAGTAATTGGAGGGGATAATTAAACGTATACATTTTAGCGCTTGCAGCCAAGACGCTTCTCATGGAAGCATTACCTTTTGGAGAACTCAATTGGGGCTACTTAATTGCCTTTGTAGGGTAGGGTGCCTTTAGAGTCGAGGACCATCCGATTCTGTACACCACTTTCCGATTGGAAGGGAATCGTGGATTCGAGAAAAATTGGAACTTACTGGAGCATGAATGAAGAGAAAAAAAATTGAAATGGGTTTCATTGTAAAGGATTAAAATGTTACTCGTCAATAAAAAAAAGTCGAAAGTCTGAATACACAGCGTGGGAAGCTTTCGTACCGTGAAACCCGTAATGCACTATCCGAAAGGACAAAATCAATACTGAAAGACATTACAGTTAGACTAACGAAGTGGAATTTTTAGACATTAGAAAATATATTATGCGTGAAGGTTTTACAACTTTGTTTAAGTTTTAATTTAAATTTAAAAGAGACAATAACTAATGGTCGAAGTCGGGCGTGCTCTACAAAACATTATTCTGTTTCTTTCGACTCCCGCCAAGAACAGACGTAGTGCGGCTTTTAAAAATAAACTCCACCGCGAAGTCGAAGATGTGGGCAATCATGCAGTTCGCATTCAAATTTCATGACCGGAAGCTATCCGATAATTTGGCATCCTTTCGATCATTTTCGTCAGTCGTGCGTCGCGATGACCAGATGGGCCGAAACATGCAATGCCAGAAGTCTAAAGGTTATAATTTCGCCCCCGTAGGTAGCTCGTTATGTACATATATCGTTCACAATGGACACGAATGCATCGCTTCGATCTCGGCTCAGGTAAAGGTAAACCTGATGGTGAGGATTCCAAGTACTGACCCTTCTTAAATTCCTCCGCCTCGTTTTGTTTGCTTTGAATTTAATTTGGAGGTCTCGACTTGTTTACATCGAAAAAGAAACGTCACTAGTTTATGTAACTGTATAATAAAAGACCAGCTTAATTTTAAAAAAAACGGAAGTTTACAGAACGTAACATTCGCACTTCTGGTTTCGAGTTTGGGCACAAGCGTAAAAATTCTACTAAATTTAGACCTTGGATGGCCTTACGCTAACTGCTATTAATTAGACAAGATCTAGCAGGAACAACTCATTTAAATTACATGGTCGGGTGGGGTTACGTAATCTTCTTCAGTTTTACATCAGTTTGGATGGCAATTTGATTATTGTTGACCTTTGATTGCGTTAGGAAACAATCTAACCTCATTGGCTGTACGTTTCACGCCTTGCTCAATTTTTCCCACATTTTCCTACTTTATTTACCTATTGTACTATACATACATCAATTTTATGTAACGATTAAGCCAATTACGTATTTCTACCTTTGGACATATGCCAAACTATGAGAATGAGTTGGCACTAGCAATTTTTGAGAAGAACCTGGTCTCCTCGTTCGCTCCAAATAATCGCCATAGGGTCGAGATATCGGCAGAAAAAGGTACGTGGGGCCGGATTAAGTTGCAATGATATTGTGAAAGAGTTTACAATTTAAAAAAAAAGCCTCGTATAGATCGTTTGAGATTTTCAAAATCTCAAAAAAAAGCTTTACCTAATAGTTAACGAAGTTGTATGGCACTAATTTTTTTTTATTAAATTTATTAATTGGTCGCTATCGATTTCGGACGAGCTTCGTCCATCATCAGGCGATACGTCAGTATAATAAAAAACGAATCATGAAATAATGAAGATGTTGGAATGTTGAAGTTGTACGTTATTATCTGTAGTGGTAACCATACTACAGATCATAACATACAACTTCAACATTCCAACATCTTCATTATTTCAAGATTCGTTTTTTACTATAGGTACTGACGTATCGCCTGATGATGGACGAAGCTCGTCCGAAATCGACAGCGACCAATTAATAAATTTTAATAAAAAATTAGTGTAATACAACTTCGTTAACTGTTAGCAACACACTAATTGCAAAATGGAGCAATTCGTCAACTTTACCTTATACTCGTAGAAGCTCTTCAAGATATTTCAAGGCAAACCAAGTGTACCGAGAAGTGTACTAAGGTTTTGGAACGGCTCTTAAGGAAGTGGCTCTAAAACTCAAGTAAAAGCCAGGATTCTTGTGTGCTGATCTGTTCCCAGACTCTTAAATGGCTAAAAATGTGTCTGTTAAAAGAACTAAGGCAAAACATTTGGTTACTGAAGTCAAACATTCAAAAATCAATCAATCTTTACAGGCTTATTTTCGTGAAGTGGTTTTTACCGATCCTTCAAGAACCCTAGACGATATGTTATTGGCAATGAAGAATAGCTTTACAGTAATGAATTTGGAGTTTATGTCGTACCTATACAGTAGGCCTCCTAATTGAATTTAATGTGCTATTTCAAAGTGAATCTCCTATACCTATTGTATAAATTAAAGAGGAAACCAGAAGGCTCTTAAAAAGCTCTGCAGTACCTAACTACACTGAAATAACACATTTAAGAAAAAGGTGCTGATATATTTGCATTTGATTTGATCATAAAGACCCAATATGGTTTGGGCCTTTAAAAAAGGTTTATTTGGGAGTAATCTGTACTTTGAGAAGCTAAAAAAACAAGGAACAGGTCAGAAAAACTCAATTTTTAAAGACTAGCCTTGAGTTTTGTATACAGTTGGTAGACGATATTAAAAATCGGTTTGACTCATAGATAATCCGATCAAATCTTAATGCGATTCATTAATTCGTAATTGCCTTTGCTCTAAATCAGCATGTAGGCACAGCGTATGCTGTGATGTAGGTATATAATCCGCCGAAACATCCGCTCGCGCACCGCAGTTATTATATGTATTGTACCTACATATTTTTATTACATATTATGTTTGTTCATGGAGGCTAAGAGTCAAAATGGCTCCCGAAGATTTGAGCAGGAACTACCGCGTACACTAAGACATTTTCGAATATTTTATCGGGAAAATCCAATAATGCATCAAGCCAAGGGGGAGACCACTAAGGCAATATTGTCAAAAGTTGGGGGTAATGTAAAGGAATTATGGGGCAGTATGAGGAAATAAGGGGAACTCCGAGGAATATGGAGAATTAGGGGATAATAGGGGGAAATATGAAGGAATATGGGACAATATTAGAAAGGCATTGATGATAAATATACCCTCAATTTGAGTAAACTATGTTGAGGTAATAAGAGGAAATATCATGCAATACGTATGAAATGTAGACTGAAAACGAAATATAATTCCTCCGTGAGGAAATATTTCTGCAAAATAACATAGGTGGCTTCCCCCCTCGCATCGAGCACAATTCAGTGCCATTGTTACTGATTTCATATTTGTGAAAATCCTTTGGGTCAAGTTGGCCCAGAGATTTGAGTACAGGAGCTACCGAGTACCATAAGACCATTTTCGAAAATTTGAACGGCACATTTTTGTAAAAAAACGTGAGGGTTGAGAAGCTTACGAGAGTTGGAGTGCGGGAACTATAAGACTATTTTCGAATGTTTGACGGCACAATCTAATATGCATCGAGCGCAACTCGTTAAAATAGTAGTGGAATTTTTACCTTAAAAACCAGGGGGGTTGAGAGTCAAATTGGCCCCGCGTTACAATTCAAGGAAAACTGATTTTCCAAATCAGCACAAATTAAAATTGGATCCGCACAATTGAGCATAACTATCTAGCACTATTTAAACATTTTCATTGCACATTTTTTTTATTGCGGGGGCTAACTAGATAGAGCTTCGAATTTCTTTAATTTAGTTTTAGAGAGATCATTTGAACTTTTCTGATTATTAAGTTCAAAATATTTATTTCGTTTCAAGCTATACATTTTAAATTTAGGCCCAGTTGTACAATGTGAGTTTAAACTTTAGTTTATAGTTAAATTGTGGGTTAAAGGATGTGATTAGTTGATCAATCGTCTTTTTGAAATCTGTCAGTTAAACTAAACTGAAGTTTAAACTGACGTTGTACAACCGGGCCTTAAAGTTTCACCTTACATTAGCCCTTATTAAATTGCTGTAAACAGGTAAACGTTTCGGAAAATTTTACACATTTGTAATAGGTACCGTTTGGAGTGCAGGTATAGACACAAACAGAACATTTCGAGGAAAAGGTTTCTCTTTTTCGTGGAATCGAAATTGTTACCGTTAATAAGCATTCGTAGGAGGTACTCGGAAATCTAGTTTAAACGTGGCAGGACACTGTAGGACTGCCTTTTAATGCTTACTCATGCTTGTTCTTATCCGTTTTTGTACAATTGTGAGAGTGATTATATTTCACACCCAGTCCTCGATATCACTTATAACTGTAGTACGCCCCTGTCGTGCCACGCTCACAATTTTTAAAGATGTTTTACTTCCCCCGCCTCGTCCCACTACGTACGGCGTGGTATGTACTTCATTCGCCTCGTTGTGCTGAACGCGCTCGTTTGTATGTTATTTACGTGAGTATTTAATTCGCTCTAACGCTCCTTAGGCTTTCCAAAATTAATTTCCGAAAACAAAACATAGTTTACGGTTTATATCAGGTTAAACACGTGAGTATTTAATTCGCTTTAACGCTTTTTAGGCTTTCGAAAGGTAATGCCGAAAAGAAAACATCGTTCACCGTCGGGTGACTCAGTTATGGAACAGTATTCTAATAAAGAGCTGCTGTCACGAATTCTAAAACTCGAAAAAAAGATCCATAAAAAGAAACACCGTGACCGCAGTCGCGCTAAGGACAGGCGCTCACGCAGCCCTTCGCATGCCTCGAGCAGTCATGGAAGGGTACGTTCCGAATCTAGAAGCGCGCCAGGGAATGAGAATCGGCGTAGCCACGGTCGACCCTCTCGCAGACGCTTCCGTAGCCCTTCGCATGACTCGAGCAGTCATGGAAGGTCACCTTCTCGGTCTATTATTAGCGCCTCGCGAATTTCTAGCGAGTACGAAAAATCACCACGGGCAAGGAACGCTTCCTCACCGGATATTCGCAATCTTAACGACTCGCATTCTCGCGGTTACAGCACTTGCCGATCCCCGGGCGGGACGGAGGTTGCATTAGATAAGGCAGTACATTCTCGCAGCAGAATGTCGCCGTCTAAACAAGCGGCATTTTCTTCGCAGGACCACAATTGTCTTATTATCGAAAATGACGAAAATATACCAGAGGAGCTTTCAAGCATCTTGGGGGAGAATCCTACCATTGATACAAAAGGCAGTTTCGCCTTACACGACGCTATACGTCTGAGGTGGGATCATATCCTAAAACAAGGACTGTCTGACCCCGAGCTCGATAGAATCAAATCCCGGTGCTTGAAATCGTCGAACTTGAACTTGGAAGCTCCGGTCGTCAATCCGGAAATTTCGACAATTCTTTCTAAACCAAACCTAACCCGAGATGCGTCACATTCGAGTTATCAGAACCAGCTGGGTTTGGCTATGGCGGAGCTCGGTAGAGCACTGAATTTGGTTCTAGAGGAGGAAAGTAACATTCCTAAGCAGGTCAAAAACGACCTCTTACAGAATTTAAGCGACTCTGGGCGTATGCTAGCAAGCTTGTTCCATAACATATCTTGCGTACGGCGTACTGTTATTTATCCCCTCCTAAACAAAAACATGAAAGATTTGACGGAAAAAACCCAGCCCTTCGGAGGTCTGCTGTTTGGACCAGACCTGCCGGAGACCATAAAAACTGCTAAGCAATTAGACACAGCCGGAAAAGAATTGAAAGCGCTCCAGCCTCAATCGAAGTTCAAGGTCTTGGGCAATTTCTTTCACAAAAAAGAAGGGGGGCGATTTTCTTCATCAGTCCAAGCGGCGCCTCCTTCTTTAAACCGCTATCGCCCGGTTCGTCGAATAAGGACCTCGAGGGACACGAAACCAAAAGGGCAAACCTCGAAACAGGACCGGACTCGTTTCCGGCGGAGATATTAATATCGGTAAGTTCAAACGGCTTATGCGCGGGAAGGCTGAGAAAATTCTTTCACGAATGGCTCAAAATTACCTCAAATCCAGTAATCTTGCAATGGGTTAGAGGTTATAATGTGCCTTTCACAAAAAAGCCTTTTCAAAAGAGACCCCTCACTTCGGATTTCTCGCCAAAGGAGGCTAGAGGCATGAGTTTGGCGGTTGCGGAACTGGTAAAGCAAGGGGCGGTGATCCAATGTTCAAATACAAACGTAAAGGACCAGTTCCTATCAAAAATCTTTTTAGCTGACAAACCCAACGGAAAAAAGAGATTTATACTAAATTTGAAACCTCTTAATAACATCATTTCAAGTCCTCACTTTAAAATGGAAAATTTTGAAACAGTTTCAAGATTACTTCAAGTTAATCACTTCATGACTTCCATCGATCTCAAAGATGCTTACTTTGCAGTTCCTGTACACCTTTCAGATAGAAAGTATTTGAGGTTCTACTTTTTGGGGAAAATGTTCGAATTCACCTGTTTGCCGTTCGGCTTGTCATCCGCCCCTTATACCTTTACTAAGCTAATGAAGCCAGTCGTAGAGTCCTTACGTCGGTCGGGTATCACCTGTGTGAATTACCTAGACGACTTCCTAATTATAGGGGATAGCGAAATCGACTGTAGGATTAAGACTGATGTAGCAGTGAAATTACTCGTCTCTCTCGGGTTCATTATAAACTGGGAAAAAAGCGTACTTCTCCCAAGCCAATCTTGCAAATTTCTAGGTTTTATTTTCAATACCAAGAACATGACTATAAAACTACCGGAGTCAAAAATTGAGAAAATTGTGAAACGATCAACTTTCCTTAGTTCTCAAAAGTCATGCAAAGTTAAAACATTGGCACAGTTCCTAGGGTTTCTGGTATCAGCTTGTCCAGCCGTTAAATACGGCTGGCTTTATACCAAATCCCTGGAAAGGGAGAAGTATCTAGCCCTACTCCAGAATAACATGAATTACAACAGTGTAATGAAACTGACAGCTCGAAATTCTTCAGATTTGCTTTGGTGGGCTTCTAATATTAAAAAATCTTTTAACGCTCTAAAAAAGAACCAATTCGATTTAATAGTTTTCACCGACGCGTCTCTATCAGGTTGGGGGGCTGTTTGCAAAAATGAAAGTACCCGCGGCTGGTGGACAACAGTCGAAAAAGAAAACCACATCAATTTTTTAGAGTTACAAGCCATATTTTACGGACTGAAGTTTTTCGCCAAGTCGTACAGTCACCTCAACATACTAATAAGAACAGACAATACGACGGCACTGTCATACATCAACCGAATGGGAAGTGTTCGTTACCCCAAACTAAATTCTCTTAGTAGACAAATCTGGCAATGGTGCGAAAGGAGAAATATTTGGCTTGCAGCCGCTTATATAAATACTAAGGACAACTGGAAAGCAGATCAAGAATCTCGCACACTTCCTCCTGAAACGGAATGGTCTCTAGCCTCTTATGCCTTTGAAAAAATCATAAAAGCCTTTGGCCGACCACTTATCGACCTTTTTGCATCAAAAAATAATTTCAAGTGCCCGAAGTATGTCTCTTGGCAAAAGGATCCCGGATCTATGGCTGTGGATGCCTTTACGATATCCTGGTCTAATTTATTCTTCTATGCGTTTCCTCCTTTCTCCATGATTTTGCGAAGCATACAAAAAATCTCCGAGGACAAAGCAGACGGAATCCTGGTGGTACCGTACTGGCCATCACAGCCATGGTTCCCGCCATTACTCAAGCTACAAATCAACCACCCGGTATTATTTGAACCAAGTCCCAACTTGCTTTCGTCTGTTTACAGCACCAAACATCCACTAGCATCAGAGCTTACCCTGGCTGCTTACAGAGTCTCAGGGAAGCCTTCACTCTGATGAAACTGCCTAAATGCTCAATTGAAACGATGATAAAGTCCTTGTCGGAATCTACCCTAAATCAGTATAATAGCACCTACAAGTTGTGGTGGAAGTTTTGCAACACAAAGCATATCTCACCATTGCTAGGCAGGACCGAAGACGCTATCGAGTTCCTACAACTCCTCCTAGAGCAGGGTAAATACAAATACTCGACAATTAATGCCCACCGCTCAGCACTTTCGCTGATCCTTCAGGACAAAGTGGGAGAGGACTTTAGGATGAAAAGATTTATGAGAGGCGTGGCAAAATTAAGACCCTCGGCTCCCAAGTACGATTTTACTTGGGAACCGGCGACGGTTTTAAAACACCTTGAAAACATAGCAACTTCAGAGGATGCTACGCTGAAGGATTTGTCCATGAAATTAATAACTCTCTTAGCTCTCTCGACTGGACACCGTCTTCAATCATTATCCTTAATCAGAATCGAAAACATCAACATCACTCCAGACCAGGTACAAATCTTAATTCCGGATACAATTAAAACTTCGGGCCCAGGAAAACCTCAACCACATCTTCAGATTCCGTTCTTCAGAACAAACCCAAACCTATGCGTAGCCTCAACTTTAATTTGGTATCTAAAAAGGACAAAAGGTTGGCGGGAGAGCAATAAGGGTCCTCTCTTCCTCACCTTTAAGAAACCACACAAAAAGGCGTCTAAACAATCGCTCAGTCGATGGGTGAAGGGAACCTTACATGCGGCGGGAATCGACGTCACCCAATTCAAACCCCATTCGACGAGACATGCATCAACATCGCTGGCAAAGAGACTGGGCCTGAACATAGACACAATTCACAAATCTGCGGGTTGGTCAGAAAAGTCACGAACCTTCGCCAAGTTTTACGACAGACCTGTGCAGCCAACACAGAACTTTACAAATACAATCATTAGTTCGTTAAGCTAATATATTATACCTCTAGATATTACTCTTCTCCGATGATGTGCCCTCGAGTCTTTACTCTAGGACCATATAAATTTGATTGTATCGGCAAATAAACTTTTCCTTCAAGAGACAGCTCTATTCTGATCATAACCATCATCTTTAAACAACTACAGTTATAAGTGATATCGAGGACTGGGTGTGAAATATAATTACTCGATCAAACGAACTTACCTTAAGTGAAGTTCGATCGAAATTATATGAAGCACCCAGTCCGAAGATATCACTTCCCTCCCTCCTCAATCGAGTGGATCCTTGAACGGAACCACATATTTTTCCCCTCGGTTACGATCAGGCGGTATTTAAAGGAATGAAGTACATACCACGCCGTACGTAGTGGGACGAGGCGGGGGAAGTAAAACATCTTTAAAAATTGTGAGCGTGGCACGACAGGGGCGTACTACAGTTATAAGTGATATCTTCGGACTGGGTGCTTCATATAATTTCGATCGAACTTCACTTAAGGTAAGTTCGTTTGATCGA